TAAATTTGCTGCAAATTTTCTAGAAAACTGAATTGCACGAAGTCCGTATTTTTAATGCATCTCTTTGAGCAAAATGCTATATGAATTAAACTTGTGACATTTGAATCCTAAGAGACAATACTACAATTCATATGAAGACACCGAAAGCAAATAAGGCCATTTAGCAGGTGATAAATCAACAAACATTAAAAATTTTATTTATAGTCCAAAACTGGGGATATGCCACTTGACCAGACTTCAGTAAAAGCTAGATAATTAGAGCTACAGACATGATTTCAATGAAATTAAAAAAAAATACATGATAGATAACTCAAATGTCTACAACTTTGCTGAAGATCACGTTGGCAATTAATCACATTATCAACGAGTTTGATCACAAAACATATGATTCAACAAACCTGCCAGAAACTAACATATGATATGGAAAGCACTTCAGGTTTTATCATCAAGATCGAGCTACAGACCTCCACATGACATGGTTCAAGTCTCAAATTAAACCTAAAGCATGCTCCTACAACTTTCCTTTAGAACACAGGAGCATAAAAGGTCATTTAGATAGTGTAAAATCAGTTAACATTCAATATCAGATTTCTGTCAAAACACAAAACTCTATCTCATGCATGTCTATCTTCCTAAGAACATAACTCGAGCTACAGAGCACATTTTAACATGAATTTTTTCTCATTTTTTTTAGCCAAATATCTAATATGATATATAACTCGATAATGTACAACCGGATAACCAACGGGTTACAAAATCTCCTGAGTAAAACAAGTCCATACTCAAGAAGATCAACAGAGGAACAACATCAAGCTCCCCTCAAGGACCAAATAGGCCACAAAAACAACAAACAAAAGAAAATAACAGAAAGATAAACAAATTATCCATTATCCACACAAGACCAAGATAAAAAGCCATTCAGTAGTGTAGAAATGTCTTCACCTAGGACAGCCACTTCAGCATCAAAAGGAACTCAGTCAATAATTTGTTTTCTTAGCTGCACATCTTTAACATGAAGATGAACTTCGTGCCATCCTGCCCTATTACCTGTGAGAAGCCAATCTCTGAGTTGCAGCAGAGCTTCCCCATAATTTCCTTTTGTGTATAGCCCTGTGAAAAGCCACTTCTCCACCACTGAACCATGTACCAAAGCAACACCAGATATGAATGGTTCTGCACCTGATGATCCATTAGCACTGAGAGCTAAATCATGCCCCCCTACTCCTTGCAAATCACCACCTGCATTTCCAGAAGAACCTCTACTCTCTGTCACTTGAGCACCAAAAATGATATCTTCAAATTCTAACCATTCCTGTTGAGCATTCCTCACAACCTGTCTCTCAGAGCACCACTCCATTTTGAATACCCATCCATTTCGAGTCTTTCACAACCACCACAATAAATAAACTGACAATGAGACCCTATCTGGAACATTACCCTTTTTCATTAGCTTACACATTTCCTCCACCAATCAATAAAAGCTGTTCCCTCCTTTTGCAGGCAATTCCACTCTACACCTGCCACTTTCCACACAGTTTTAGCTCTCTCACAATAAAACATAATGTGCTCCAGATTTTCATCAACTTCACCACACCCATTACAAGTTCTATCAATCTTTAACCCCCTCTTCCCCAGGTTAGTATTAGTCCCCAAGCAATTATGGATGCATCTCCATAGAAAGTTTTTCAATTTATTCTTAACAGGGATCTGCCATGTAGCTCTCCACATAGCCTTAAGTTTTCTGCCCCCAACACTACTCTCTTCTTGCCCCTCTGCTATTTTCCTCTGTTGCTGAATAAGTTGGTATGCTGATTTAACAGTAAATATCCCTTTCTTATGAGAATGCCATACCAATTTGTCCTTTGATCCCACTTTACTAATATGCAATTTAAGAATAGCCTCAGCAACTAGTGGATGAAAAGTTTGCTGCACTAAATCAACATCCCACTCACTACTTCCTGCTATCATAACATCTGCCACTTTCTTAAGTCTACTTCTATCCCCAGCACTACCCCCCTCAGGTTGAAATGTTGGCACATTTGGAATCCAAGGAGAATCCCAGATATCTATTGCCTTCTCATCCCCAACAAAAAATCTAGCACCCACAACAAAGTATTTCCTAACCTCTAACCAACCTTTCCAAAGCCAAGAATCACTATCTCTTTTTTTTACCTCCCAAATATTCTTCTTATATAAATACTTACCTTTAATAACTCTGCTCATTAAAATATTAGGACTAGTTAAAATCCTCCATAGCTGCTTAAGGATGAGAGCAGCATTAAAATCTTCAAAATTTTTAAACCCCATCCCCCCTTCAGATTTATCCCTAGCCACCCTACCCCACCTCAACCAGTGAATCTTATTACCCCCATCTTCTGTTTTTCCCCACCAAAAATTGGCCACACATCTACAAATGTCTTCACACACACCCAGAGGCAATCTATACACAGACATCACATATATAGGCATACCAGCTAGAACTGTTTTAATAAGCACTTCCCTGCCTGCTTCACTTAAAAATTTATTTTTCCAATTTGAAATTTTTGACACAACACACTCTTTAACAAAGGAAAAGGTGTCTTTTTTAGACCTGCCTATCCCTAAAGGAAGCCCCAAATATTTAGAATATTTAGCAACTGCAATGCCTGGAAAAATGTTACAGATGCTATTTTTTACATTACTAGGAGTATTTTTGGAGAAAAAGATGCTGGACTTATGAAGGTTGACTGATTGACCTGAGGCCTGACAGTAACATTTCAAAATATGAAGGATAATGTGAGCTTGATGAGGATCAGCTTTACAAAACATCAAAGCATCATCAGCAAAAAATAAGTGAGAAATAGGAGGAGAATGCCTACTGACTTTTAGACCAGAAAGGGATTGAGATGCACATGCCTTATTAATAAGATTAGACAAAACTTCAGAAGCTATAATAAATAAATAAAGGGAAAGAGGGCAACCTTGTCTAAGCCCTCTAGAGGGAATGACCTGACCAACAATTTGCCCACCAAAATTGAAAGAAAATGAGGAAGAACTAATACAAGCTTTGATCCAGCTTAAAAAAATATTATTGAATCCCATAAACCTACAGACATTAAGCAAAAAAACCCATTCAATTCTATCATAAGCTTTCTCCATATCAAGTTTAAGAGCCATAAAACAAGACTTACCTTTTTGCTTGGTGTTTAGATAATGGACACACTCATTAGCAATAATACAGTTGTACCAAGATCTGCCCACCAGGCACAAAGGCAGCTTGTGTTTGAGAAATACAACAATTAAGAACAACTTTAAGTCTGTTTGCCAAAATTTTAGCAATAAGTCTGTAGGTAATGGTGCAAAGGCTAATTGGTCTATAATGCACAATGGATTTAGGCTCTTTAATTTTGGGTATAAAGGTGATAACAGTTGGTTAGATGCCTTAGGAATACAAGCAGAGTTAAGGAAATTAGAAACAGCAAGAAACAAATCTTCTTTAATGATATCCCAAGATGATTGAAAGAATAAGGGAGAAAAGCCATCAATACCTGGAGCTTTGTTAGGATCCATAGCCCATAGTGCTTGTTTGATGTCATCTTCAGTCACAGGTTTGATGAGATCTTGATTCATTTCATCAGTTATGGATCTTGGAATACCATCAAACAAAGAGTTATCACACCCATGAAACTCAGACTGTAGCAGAGTTGCAAAGAAATCCTCCACTTCCTTAATGGCCTCTGCCCTGCTTTGACACTGCACCCCATTTCTGCAAATTAGATGGTCTAAACAGTTTCTTTGTCTCCTTTGCCTGACACATGCCTGAAAAAACCGGGTATTTCTATCTCCTTCCTTCACCCATCGAACCCTGAACTTTTGCCTCCAATAAAGCTCCTCCTCCTTATAAGCTTCATGCAATTTTTCCTTATATTCCTGCCATTCTTCCCAGTCCCTCCAGCCCCCTTGCCTACCTAAAACCTCTAACTTAGAATTACAAACTTTGATCAATTCAGCTGAGTTTGTTTTTTGCCTAGCAGCCCATCCCAACAAAATGCTCCTAACACTCCTCAACTTTTTCTGGAATCTATACAAATCAGGTCCATTATGCTTAATCTTCCAAGCACTAGCAATACATTCCTGAAAGCCCTCTATCCTAACCCATCTATTGTCAAACATAAATCTGGATTTGCCAGCCCCCTTAGTCCTAGCCAAGTCAAAGAGCAGGAGACTGTGATCAGAGGATGCCAGAGGGATATTAAGAACCTGGGCTTTGGGGAATTTAAGGTACCATTCAGGGGATACACAAATTCTGTCAAGCTTTTCTTCCACAAAGTCCATGCCCATTCTAAGGTTGGACCAAGTAAACTGAGACCCTATCAAAGGACATTCAACTACCCCCAGGGACTGCAAAAAATTCCTAAACCCACTAAAACTACTATCATTCCTCACTAAACCCCCCCTCTTCTCCTCCTGACTGATAAAGTCATTAAAATCCCCTCCTATGAACCAACAATCCCCCAACCTCAGATGATGCCTATACAGCAACTCCCATTGATATTGTCTCTCAAAAGGAATCACACTAGCATAAACAAAAACTCCCCATAACTGATCAGAACACCCTTTTAACATAAATTTAATCTCTAAACTAAAAATATTGTTAATAATCTCCAGCACAGAAATATTATTAGACCAACATAGCTTTTTTCTAACAGGGTCTACACAAAACCATCTATCTGCAAAAGGTAAATTCTTACAAACTGTAGTAATAAAAGCTTTTTTCTTTTTAGTTTCTGATAAAAATAGAAAATCAGGGAGGTAGGATTTGACAATCTCCTTCAACTGGGAAATTGTAGAGGGTCCTCCCAAACCTCTACAATTCCACACCACAGCTTTCATTTGGAAACTTGGGACCATTTATGGCTGGTTTCCTCCACCAATTTATCATTTGAAAATTCAGAAAATTCAGAGTTTTTAACCTTTTTAAAATCAGACTCAGAATCCTGTTCTCCTATAACAATGACCTTATCAACTTTCCTCTTATGAGAGGAAATGATATTCCCACCCATACTACCCAAATTAACACCCTCATTCCCCCCATTTGTGTTGCTCTCAGCCTTTCTACTTCTGGTAATGCGAGTGAATGTCTTAGGTGGTTTAGAATTTCCCACCTTGAATTGAGCAGACTAAATCACTACATCCACTAAATTACCAGATTCAGATGCTGGACCTTTTGTAGCTTCCAGCTCCATAGGCACAGCAAGGCTAGACCCCTCTCCAGCAAGAAGATCCTTCTCTATTGGTAACTGAGAGTTCCTTTGAGCAATACATTTTCCTGTCCCATAAGGATCAATACTACCTTCCCCTCCTAAATTTTCTCACTCACAGCTTCTGACCCCAATTCTATTCCCCCATTCTTACTAGTCCTACCCCCTTCCTCCCTCTCCAAAGGCAATTGGCTACTGACAGTTAAGGGAGGAGGGTCAATAGGGCTAGAAGACTTCCTCTCTCTACTATCCCCATACCCACCCCCAGAGGCTCGCAACCAATCCCCATATTGCCCAGGTTTCAAAACTTTCCTCTGTATATCCTCTTTTTTCACATCGCACTGCCTCTCATGATGGCCTATTATTCCACAGTAAAAGCAAAACCCAAGAAGATTTTAGTACCTAAAGTCAATCCAATGTTCCTCCTGGCCCAACTTAATCTTGGTACCCCTCAACAATGGTTCTGCAATGCTGACTTCGGCCAAAATCTTAACTATTTTCCCATTATTAGAGCCTGCTCCAGGCGCCACCACATCGATAACATTATTGAATAGGCGCCCTACCTTTATCCCCGTCTCCGCAGATATCCAGTGGAAAAGGCAAGTTATGGATCTGAATCCACAATTCCACTATCATCTCGGCCTCGAAAAATTCAAGATCCCCTTTCCTCTATTCCTTAAATAGCAGATATTGTCCATCAAAATTCCAAGCCTTGCCTTTTAGAACCTTGTTCTTATCTTCCTCACTCTGAAATAGAAATTGGAATAAATTGGAACCAAGAGCTCTAATCGAGAACGAACGCTCCAGTCTCCAAACAATCGTCATTGTTGTACGCAACCCCCCTATACTAGCTCTCTTTTCCCCCCACGATCTTTCCTATCAAGCTGAGAGAGCATTCCTGGATCCCACGTTCAATATCTGCGTCCAATAATTCGATCCCTGATCTCTCTCTATCTGATAACTCAAATTTGTGAAATTTGTCGATGATATCCTGTTCCATAACTGATTGAAATTAATCGTAGCCTCGATCGAACCTCTTGAATCGTCGCGCAAACAATAGAGAGAACCCCACCGCTGAGAATTAGAGGAACCCTAACAACCCTACAATAATGACTAGAAACTCAAAAGAGCAAGAGAAAAAGACGTGAAAAGAGATTCCACACTAGATGGAAAAGAAAACCCTAAAAAAGGGACGGGGCTTCCACAAGAGATGGAACCGTATAGGATGTGAAATTTATCTCATTTGAAATATAAGAAACATACCTATAATTTCCATGAAGAGCATAAATTTATACGAGCACATTACGACATGATAAACAGGTCATACATTAATTACACACATGCTGCCGGGTAACAGAAAAACTGGACGCGCAATATTCTCGTAAAAATCATAACTTATTCGATATAACTCGGAATCGAGAAATTCCAAAGCCCAGATACAGACAACCGAACATACTACGTTTCATAAGAAGATAGCAACTTCAAATAATCAGCCTCTGATGGCTTAAACTGAGGCACAACAGAAACAGCGAACATGCAAATTAACAAGAAATAACAATGAACATATATAACCAATGTTCTAAGCTCAACCACGATTAATATGACTTCCCAACAAAAATAAACGAGCACAACATGTTCATCACAGCAACTACATGATACTCGAAGAATTTGCGAGACAAACCAACGAGTAAGAACGAATAATAACGAACAAATTATAACAAGGGAAAATCAGCCATTAAACTGATTTCCACTAATCTACAAGCATAATTGGTCGGACCATAAACATGAAACCGACACCTAGACTCCACTCTCGGTTCTCATTAACCGGATTCTAACACGCGTCTAGCAATTATATCCACCAGGTCGAAAAATCCCAACAAAGAACTGCTAAAGACGGCACTTAACTCCATACCACTAGAGTTCAAACATAATCACGTCATTCACAATAATCAAAACAAATAACTCCTAAATTGAGCTGGCGCGGCGAGACGAAAGCGAGTGGTCAAAGGGTCATTAAAGACACTAATACTAGAGGTAGTCTACAGAAACGCAGACTAGCTCTGATACCAAACTGTAACGCCCCGTTTTATTTTAAAGAATTTATCGAATTTATTTAATAAAAATCATAGTTATTTTTTTTTTTAAAATCCAAATTAAAACATTTATCGAAAAACGGGCGCTACTTACTAACCACAGCAAATGAACACATCCAATCAGTCAATCTAAAGAACCTACACATGCTTGAGCTATCAAAATAAACAATCTCATAAAACATAAATCTCAAAATCATTCCCAAACGTCTAGCATGAATCAAGGTTCAAACGAAACTCAAACATAGTTCGAAGGCGAATAAATAAATAATCCAAAGTATTTGAAAGCAAATAAATAAGCAACAAGTTCATGCGGAAGCATAATATATCATCAAACAGTGACCACCATCTTGCTCGTCCTACGCCACCGCCTTCAGCTCGTCTCAACCTAGAATAAAGGAAGAGAGAGAAGACAACAAAGAAAATAATGGGGGTGAGCAACCAACTAGCTCACCATTATCGCACAGTTATCCCGTACAAATATCTTAAAAACAGTATCACAGTAAACAATATCAGTATGCATAGAATTCAACAGTCTAAACCCCCTACTCGGCCCTATCGCAAACCTCCTATGTACATACAACAAACCTTCCGACCAGACATCGACAAGGCCGTAACTGGAAAATTTCCTCCACCCCGAACTACTCACGGATCATGGGAGTCCACCCCGAACTACTCACGGATCATGGATGTTTTCCAGGAGACAGTGGGGATGTTTTTCCCCGAAACTCACACGGATCAGGGCGTCTTCTCCCGGATACAACGGGCTGGTTACCTCTCACTGTTATGCATTCGTCAAAGGCACTACCAATAGGATACTTAGACTAGGGTTCTCACGCATACAACATTTTTCAAAAGAAGCATTATACGAAATAAATAGTGCGATAAATATGGAATACATCATAAATGTACCCACCTGGATGCAGCAACAGATCAAATCACGATTCTCGAAAGTAGGACCAGGTCAACACCTCTAGACACCTACATAAGTCCAGATACTCAAGTCAACACTTTAATCTAGACCTAAGTAGAAAATCACAATTTGACTTAGTCGAACTCGATTCGACCAAGTGGTTCGTGAAGTTCTGTGGATATGAGAACTCTAGGACTTAGACTCGATCAAACCACATATTCAAGTTCACATAATCACAAATGAAAGACAATCAAACGAGCCACAAGTAAACACATAGCAAATTCGGTCAACAACACTTAATCCATTTTAATATAGAAAACAATTTCCAAAATTCACACTTGAATTAGAAGGTATATCAAATCATCGAGTTAGGTTCTTGAAATTTTACATAAAATTCATCTCCCAGAATTTAGCAAAAACACCAAGTTTCAGCTTCAAACTCATTATACATAATTTTATAAAATTCAAACAAGTTTTTCAACAAAAAAGAGTTTAAATTAGAAACACATGATAATGGACGATTCAGGCCATGAAATATTTATCTACAATACTAAAGCATATGAAGAGCAACACATAAAAATACTAGCCTTTAAAACTCAGAATGTGAATTATAAAATTAAAACAACATTCAGCCAATTATCTAATTTTTATCAGAACTGATCCTAAACAAATTCCAAAAGTTCCAAAATTTTTACAGCATGCTAAAAACCACAAAATCAGCTTCTCATCCAAAATTCAGAATTTTACAGCTTCAGAACAATTTATAATAATTAAAACAAATTCGACTGAAACACAAAATTAATTATTAACCCTATCAAACATATAATTATACCTGAGACTTAACATACTTGAAAATTAGCGAGTGGAGCACCACAAAATTATTTATGCATTTTACAAGAAACTAAACAGAAATCAAATTAATTTTTAAAAATAGCTCCAGACCTTCAAAAATCACGAAAGTTTTATACAAGCTACATATTCATGAAAAACAGCTGCACCTAAAATTTCAAGGCAATCGGGCCAGTATTCAATTTATGGTGAATTTTACATTCGAAACAGCAATTATAAACTTCGAAAAAATCATAACGGCAAATATACACATCCAATCGACACAAGGCCAACGCCATTGGGTTCGTAACAATCCTAAGTCCCTAAATCCATAGCAACTAATCACTTATAACCTGTTCTCATTCGATTCGTACGAATCAACGAGTTTCACATAAATCACGACGATATAATATAACGAACATTAATATCACATAAACTCATATCGCTTCTCAATTTTACAAGGCACGTTAATATCACATAAACACATAAATCACGAACAACACGACATATAATCGCTAAATAAATAGACGAAGAGTCGAGACTCGATACTGTTCTCGGGAAACGTACGAGAATGGTTCGAACAGGGCTCGACGGCAAAACACGACGGCGAACGGCACAAGCTCGGCGGCTTTTCTCGACTCGCGTGGGAGGAAGGCAGCGGCTGCGGCTATGACACGGTGGCGGGGGCTTGCTGCTGCGAGGAGGAGCAGCCGACAGAGAGAGCTTGCGACGGCGGTTCTGCGGGCGGCCGAGCTTCGTGAGGATGGCATCGTTAACGGCGTGAGGAGACTTGCAGGCGAAACGGAAGCGGCTGAGACAGCAGCTCAGGGTCGTCCTTGCCGTGATGGTCCCCGGGAGTTGCACGGGCAGAGGGTTTCCGGGCTGCTCGTGGTGGCAGGGGGCGCGGCCTGCTCATGAAGGCGCTGCGACGAGGCGGAGCGGCAGCGGCTCGCGGCGGTCTGCTCGCGGAGGTCTGAACTCCGGTGGACATGACTCGCTGGTTGCCGGATGTGGGCTTGCGGGTTTGGTTCTTCGCGAGAAGGGTCAGCGGCGGTGGTGGTCGGGTTTTCTCGCGGGAAAAGGATCAGAGGCGAGGTGCCTGTGCGCGGAGGAGATCGCCGGTTGCAGGGTCGTCATGGAGATAGCAGACAGAGACTCGCCGGGAAAGAAGGACTGGTCGCGGCGGCGACTTTAACGGAGAGCTTGCAAATCGCGGCGGAGAAGGGAGAGGCTTCGCGTGGAGGGAAGTCGGAATTGGGCTCTGATTTGTATATGTGCGAAGGAGTTTTCACGGCGAAATCGCGAGGGAGGCGGGATGGTGATTCGCGTCTGGTTCGGCGAGGTGACGATGAGACGTCGATGATGGGATCACGATGATGGTGAGGGTTCAAAACAACGAGAAGAGGATCTTCTCTGACTCGCGCGATCGTGAAGGAGCAGAGCGAGAGATTTTGAGATCGGGAATAAGAAAAATAAAAAGGATGCGGAAAACTTTATTTGAGGAGAGAAATAGATACAAGGTTTATATATATATATGCTCACAACTAGGTTTGACTTTCTTGAATGCCAAGAAAAATCTCACACGTGCACACACATATCAAAAATTGCGTGAACCGGGTCATGAGGAATTCGAGTCGCGGGCTAGACTTAAATCGCACAATTAATTAAATACAACTCGGATAATTATTTATACATTATTTTAAAATAATAATATCAATAATCAAATTATAAAATTGGCAATTAATTTGACAATTAGACATATAATATTTAGACATTCAATTTGGCAAGCAATAATATTTATAATTACACTAATAATATTAATAGTCAATAATAATAAGAATAAAAATTTCCAATTAATCCACAAATAAACGGGGCATTACAATTGGCTTTCTGGCGAAAGCGGATGATGGCCATGGTAAAGGATTGGGAGTTGGATGTACGGCAGAAAGGACAACAGTTCCTTGAGAATTAGATTGAAAGAAGATTGTGGTTAGTGATAGCCATGAGCTTATTAAGCATAAGTGGGAGATTGTTAGATATGCTGTAAAAGCTTGGCTTTCAGATATGAACAATTCCATTTTGATATGGCAATCATGTTTCGGTCAAAGTACATATGCTTGCAATTTATTTATGCAATCATACTCTTGTCTTACATTGAGATAGTGTGGTTCGTGGTGTCTCGAACAGAAAGGTCACCTATCGGTTCCGTGTAAGACTAAATTATTTGTTCACAGTCTAGACTGGCAGTGAGACCCCACTTGGAAAAAGACTATAGTGTATTCTTGATTCAGTTGATCTTTGACTAGAGAACTACACTAGTACTTATGTTAAGTATTGAACAGGACCACGGAAGGATAAGATTATGAGACTCACTGACCGTTGTTGTAATCTAGACCTTCAGTGATGGATGCGTTCTCTAAAGCTGTAAGATAATATAAAATAGGCATATATATATATATATAAGATAATATAAAATGGGCATATATATTTATTACTTATTTATTTGATTTACTAAGGGTGATTCCTATTCTGTTCGGATGACATACTCGGTATTTTGGTAAATAAGAATATTTATATAGTGTGCTATTATAAATTATTTACGGTCACTGTGTCCCAGTGCGTTGGGTTGATGACGTCCCCGAAATGAGCTCAGGAAGGAATATTATGTCAAGCCCTGCAGGCGGATGTGTATCCGACATAATGATTAATGATCTGAGTGGTTCTAGTTTCGGAAATGAAGAAGAAGTTGATTAATTATTTTGTGAGTAATTTAATTAATCAACAGAAGTTATATCTTAAACATAGGGAGGTAAATCGATCAATCAGATTAATAAATATTAATCAAGTGGATGTTTGACTTAATTGATTAAATTGGAGCCAAATGGGGAGAGCAATAATAATATTTTAGTGGAATATATTATTATTTATTTTATTAGGATTTCAGGAATTAATTTTATTCCTTATTTAATATTCCATGAGATAGGGAATATTCCTTCTAGATTATTACCTAGGGTTAGGAGACTTGAGAGTCTTCTAGAAGGTGATGTTAGGAGAAAGGAATCATGACCAAGTTGGGATTAATAAGTGGAGTAAGGAATCATGTCCCTAATGGAGAAAGGAATCATTAGGCACCTTCTTAAGGTGATGTTAGGAGAAAGGAATCATTAGGCACCTTCTTAAGGTCCCTAATGGAGCCTATAAATACACCATGTCCCAACCTCTTGTCTTGTACATGTGAGTCACGATTTTAAGGTTCCTATAAGGAAGAGGATAATCGAGATTTATATACAATAGAGTGTTAGGGAGTTTTGATTAATTGCTCCACCAAGATTAGTCGAAGTAGGTGTTTAGGTAATCCATTAGAAGGTTTTATAGTGATATTTATCGAACTTTGAAGATCCAAATACTCTGCTCACTACTCGCCGCCGACATACCTCGCTCAACCAGGAATCCTCACTTGACTAGGACTCCTCACTCGACTAGGACTCCTCGCTAGACCAGGACTCCTCGATCGACCAGGGCTCCTTGCGCCCCTGGAAACGTGCCGCATGGGATCAGCATGACAAAGACCCTACTCACTTAGTCCTCACACGCATAGGAAAGCCGCAGCGCGCGACTCGTGCGCACCCGCTATTCCTCGCCTGATCAGGACTCCTCGCGCGTATAGGAGACGTCCCGAGCACGTACCCGCGTGAGCCCAGACGCCGCATGCCTAGTCCTTCCAGGCATAGGAAAGTTGACACGCACATGCATCTGTCCGCAACCCGAACCGCCGCAATCTGAACCCGACCAACTTGATCCGGTGATCCGTTCGTGATTCAACACTCGACTAGAGTCGACAAAGGCCAAAACCTTCAATCGATTGGGTTGTTGTAAACAGACGATGTCCATCAACAGAAATCAGAAACGACTCAGAGTCGGCAAAAATTTTAAACTGTAAGTCCTAATCCTAACTATAGATTCCGCTGCGTTAGGATTTATTATTCAATAGATTTGAATGTGCACATTGTCGACGTTTCTAATAGAACCCAACAAAAAGAACATGAAATAGAACTGTAATTCAAAATCAAACAATTTTAAGCATATTCTCTCTCATGGGAGTTGAAAATTCTCTCCAATGGAGTCCGATCTCGTATTCCTTCTGCGAAGGCTTATTCGTCGAGCAGGTAGCAAGTTAAGTATCTTAGGTTCTCTATCCTTTAGATTGAATGGCCTCTTAATTAATCTAATTATCGCTAGGGTTTTCTTTCGTCATTTCATATTTTGTTCCTCTTCTCTTTCCCCTTTTGGCTTTCTTGATTTCTATTACCCAGGTGCAGGATCTGCTGTCTTCTAGAACCCTTTTATTTCTCTATGGAAAACCTTGAAAGCAAGCTTAGATCTTTCTCCCTATCGGGCAAAGAAACGGGCGTAATTCCACTCGTGGAAGACGATGTCAGATTCTGTGAAGATGAGTGCAACCGGAGTCCCTTTGGGAAAATCATCGGAGGCAGGAGAGCCGGCTTATTTGGGCTCAAGCGAACCCTATCGAGCATTTGGAATACCAGAATCCCATTTACAATACGAGAGTTGGAATTCGATTTTTTCCAATTCCTTTATGAAGATATAGCAGACAAGCAGAAGGTGACTAATAGTCGAAACTAGTCCTTTGAAAATCAATACTCCTCCTTAGAGAATGGGAAGAAGATATGCACGCGAACCACCCGTCTTTCTCAGAAATGGATATTTGGGTCCAAGTGGAAGGTGTTCCCCTCAATTGGTTATGCATCGACGTGGGCCTAAAAAATGGCAAAGATTATAAGAAAGTGAAAGACGTTGTCATTGGAAATTCCAGTTCTACTTAGGGCAGAGGTCTGAAATTATTGGTATCTCACAACCACGAGGAGCCAATTCTAAGATGCACAAACATCCAACTGAAGAACAAAATCCAAAGGGTAAACTTCAAATACGAGAAACTTATCAATCTCTATTTCTACTATGGAATGATCGGCCACCTTGACCGAACTTGCAAACTCAGAGCACAAGATATCGAGCTAGGTACCCCTCATGAAGGCCAGTTCAAAGAATGGCTGAAAGCTTCTGAATCGCCTACCCACAGAACTAGACCAGTACCTTCACCTGAAAATACCTCTACAACCCTATCTCCCTCTCAAAATAATTTCATATCTCATATCCCTACCTCAGGAAGTGGCTCTAAAACACCCCTTAGTCGCCAAATTATAATAACCACTGCAAGACCAGAATCATCCACCAAAATCCTCCTCACTATTCCAGAATCTTCAACCCCTAAATCCCAGCTGCCATATGGCCCTATACCCAAACAGAACCCTACCACAAAAACACCGGTTGACCCTAAACCCCTTCTTATCCTCAAACCAAAAAAACTCCCATTAACAGTTCCTGTCGTCCCAAACCAATCATATATCTCAGCATCAACCCCACTCCTCCTACTCACAAATCAAGATGTTGACCATCAACCTCCAGGTCTATCTTCCCTTGCAGGAATCACTCGCACCACAATGGACCTGGAGAGTCTCCCTCTTATGGCCAACATTGCTCATAACAAGGAGGGANCTAAAAAAAAAAAAAAATGGGTTAGAAAGAACAAGTCACCAAGTTGCAACACTTCTTCCACATCAAAAACCCTCAGCACCAAAGGGACTCACACCCAAAGAAGAGTTAGACTCCACTCTGAACCCTCTGAAACTCCCAGTTCCCCAAATCAACAAACCACTCAAAGCCATAAAAAGCCCAAGCAATTGAAACCCAGGCAAAAAAAAGGTGAAGAAGAAAAGGTGGAGGCAGCCAGCCTAGAATGACTCCCAACCCCCAAATGAAGACATGGGTGTGGAACTGTAGAGCATTGGGAGGACCCTCTACAGTTTCCCAATCAATGGAGGCTCTTAAACTCCACCACCCCTGGTTTTTTTTTCTCTGTGAAACAGGACAAACCAATTCTTTTTCTCTTTCAGTTTGTAAAAAATTAAGGTCAGATGACAGACATATAATTCTAGATCCTATAGGGGTAAGCGGGGGTCTTCTTCTGCTATGGGATAAGGACATTACCATCCACAAGTTAGTCACAAACAAATATTGCATTGAAGTTGAATATAGCCACATCTCAGATAGCAACACAGACTGGTTTGCTTTTGTTTACCTCAGCACAAACCACCGCGAACGAGAAGAACATAGAAGGTAACTAGAGCTAGCAAAATATTCTTGGGGTAGCAAATGGGTGATTGCGGGGGATGGGAACGACATCTGCAGCAATGAGGAAAAACAAGGTGGTAGACTAAGAACAGAGAGCAGTTTTTGGAGTTTCAAAAACTTTATATCTACAATGGGTATGCAAGAAGTTCCATTGACGGGTCACCAATTCACATGGTGGATAAATTTTTTGCTTCTTTAGATTGGTGGAACTCTTTCCCAAACTCCAAAGCTCACAACTTTCTCATGAGCTCGTCAGACCATAGCCTCATTTTGCTCTCAACTGGAAACCCCATCACTACTTTCAAGAAGAGATTTTATTTCCACAAACGTTGGCTACTAAAGGATGGAATTAGTGACACTATAAAGGAAGCATAGAACTGCTTTCAACAAGGTCACCCTATGACTGCGTTTCAAAGAAAAATTACAGCCACCCGCATAGGTCTTCTAAAGCGGATTAGATCCTTTAAATCGGAAAATGAAAAGCAGCTGAAGGATGCTACTAGGGAAATAGAGGAACTGAGAGACCAGGGAAATGACAGAGACTGGAGCATGTGGAATTTCCTCAAGCAAGAAATTGACATGCTTAACAAATCTGAAGAAGCCTACTGGAGCCAAAAATCCAGGCTACAATGGCTTAAAGAAGGAGACAAAATACATGCTTTTTACACGCCTTCACAACCCAGAGAATTCAAATGCCATCAGTCAGCTCATCTCTGAGGAAAATGTAGTCTGTGATACCCGATCAGGAATAGAAAGTTGCATAACAGACTACTACATCAAGCTCTTCACTTCTGAGTGCTTCGAGACAAATGCAGATGATCCTCTGTTCGATTGTATCCCCGTTTCAGTTACTCCATCAATGAACTCCAGACTGATTGCAAACGTCGATGAAAAAGAAATAAAAAGGGTTCTGGACAGCATGAATCCTAACAAAGTGCCTGGCCACGACGGTATGTCCCCACTTTTTTCCAAAAATTCTGGCATATCATAAAAGAGACCTTTGCAGGGCTGTCTCTAGTTTTTTCAACTCTGGTTTTATGTCACAATCTTGGAACCACACTTTTACAACCCTTGTTCCCAAAATTCAACACCTGAACAAAGCTGAACACTTCAGACCAATTAGCTTATGTTGTGTGGCCTATAAAATTGTTTAAAAAATTCTTGCATCTAGGCTCAAACATTGTCTTTCTACCTACATTAGTGATAGTCAAGCAACATTCATTCCTAATAGACAATTATTAGACAATGCTGTTATTGCTCAAGAGGCCATTCTCTATCTAAACCGACATAGAACAGGTTCTAAATACTTAATGGCAATAAAGCTCGATATAGAAAAAGCCTTTGATAGAATAGAGTGTCCTTGCATTACTTCAGTGATGCTTAAAATGGGTTTTCATGTGCAATTCATAAACTGGATCATGTCCTGCATATCATCTACCAACTTCTCTTTCAATATTAATGGTAAAAAATGTGGCAACATATATCCAACCAGGGGACTCAGGCTGGGGTCCCAATCTCCCCATACCTCTTCATCATTGTCTCTGAATTTCTGTCTTGCCTCATACACAGTTCCATAACCCAGGGATCTCTGTCAGGCATCAAAATCTCTAAATCTGGCCCATTGCTCTCCCACCTTTTCTTTGCGGACGATACCCTTATGTTCAGCCAAGCCTCAAAACACCAAGCCGTTGAAATATTAAACATTCTCCACAAATATCACATCTGCTCTGGTCAGAAAATAAACTTAACGAAATCATCCATATTTTTTAGCAGAAACACACCCACCTCTGTCCAGTCTGAGATTTGCAGACTTTTCAGTGGCATCCAAGTCAAATTTTCTACTAGATACCTTGGCCTTCCCCTTGGAGGCTGTGCTGAGACACCCACCTAGTGTTTGTGCTGAGATTTCCAAGCTAATTGCAAAATTCTGGTGGTAAAAAAGAGGGTCACAAGAACCTGGACTTCACTGGAAATAGTGGAACCATTTATCTATTCCAACAGATAATGGTGGTCTTGGTTTCACTGACCTGAAACTATTCAACAAATCCCTGATTATTAAGCAACTTTGGAGGCTGTACACTAATCCAAATTTACTTGTGAGCAGGATCTTAAACAAAAAAATATTTTCCAAACACTGATTTCACAGGTACATAGCCTCCTCAAAGCTGCTTTTGGCTGTGGAGGAGCTGGATGAGTGTATGCCTCCTTTTTGAGAAAGTCCTGCAGGTGATCATTAAAAATGGCAGAGATACAAGAATTTGGGACCATCCATGGATACCCTCACTCCCAAACCATAAACTAAGTAGGTGCAACAATTCAGCTGAATTGGCATATGGGTGAATGATCTCATGATACCTCACACAACAATCTGGAATGAATCTCTCATCAGGAAATATTTCAGCTCAAAAGACAGTGAAGCCATTTTACAAATCTCCACACTCAACCTATCTCAACAGGACAGGATCTCTTGGTGCTTAAACAAGAAAGGGACCTTCTTTGTGGACTCCTCATATGAGGCACTTCTAAAGAGCAAAGTTTTAGGCTTGGACATCCCTGAATCGAGCAGTCAAGGCTCTTTGATCAAGAAGGTAAGAAGCATCAGCTAGAAGCTGAAGATTAAAAGGAAAATAAAGCACTTCATCTGGAAGTGCTTTTCTGGAATTCTGCCTTCACAGGAAAATCTGAATAGAAGAGGCCTGCACCTGGATAACATTTCAAAGCTTGTTGAGACAAAGAAAAGACCACTGAACACCTACTTTTCAACTGCCCCAGAGCCAAGAAAATCTGGAAACTTACACCAGTTAACTGGACAAATTCGCAGCAAGACATCACATGCTTCAAGACATGGTTGAAAGAAGTTTGCCTTATGCACCAAAGCAAAGTTGCTGCTGACAGAATCCAACTAACCACCTACATTCTCTGGTAGTTGTGGAAATCCAGGAACCTCTGGATATTCAAAAGCCAATGGCAACCAAAGAAAGCTATTGTGGATGCAGCTTGTTTAGAATGGCTCGAATTTTCATCTATCTCTTAATTTTTCTATTTGTTTTCTTCTAGCTAGGTGATTATCACAGTGGCTAAAATGTCATTCTTCTGTCAACTGGTGTGTCCCAGGGCCTCAGTATTCTATACTGCCCAATGGCTGTGCCAATTGACCCTTCATCTCTTCTATACCAACTTACTTTGGTTGGCTCTCCCATTCTCTGTTAGTAGTTTGTTCAGTTTTAATTTATTGTGGTAGTTAGTTATTTTAGTTGTTAGTAGTCTTCATGCTCTGTAGTTTGTTTTCTGTTTCCTGATTCTGTACTCTTGCTTATGTAAACTCTATCTTTTTAGTTATAATATTCTTCGTTTCNAAAAAAAAAAAAAAGGAAACTGATTTATATTTTTTAATTCCACCAGATCTTTCATTTTTCTTTTTGCAGCTATGAAAGAGAAAATGGCCGATGAGAGCAATGTTGATATTCTGATGAAGTTTGAATGAGAAAAGGGATGCCTGTTTAGGTCTCCGCCACTTTGTAGACGCTTCGATCGCCAGCGATTTTTTCAGAATTTCTCTCTTCCGTGAGTGTTTATTTCTCCATCTCCTCAAGCTCAAAGTGCTGTTTTGGTTGCAATGTCAAACTTGGTTCATAGCTCGATTGACTTTGGCCTCGGATCGGCGGGTCTCGCCCGCCTGCCGACCCATGCATTTTTCAGAGCGGGTCGCGAGAGAGACGGCATTAGAGGTGGAGGATCTGACATGGGAGATTTCTAGGACTTGAATTGGCACAAGTCAGCAAATTTCTTGGCTTTCTTGAAGTCGACAGGTTTGGCGGAGGCGGGAGGAGGGATGAAGGGATGTGAGTGATGTTTGAGTTGAAATATGGTGGCGGCAGGGCTGATGTCGTCGGAGACGATGGCGGCGATAAGGACGGAAGAGAGATTGTCGATAAACTACACCGATCAAAGAATATTATTCTTTATATGTTTTGTTTATACTCGATATATTTTCAGTGGATGTTACATTTTCCTTTACATAACATTCTAACCACAACTGTGATGTTTGAATTTTGTTTTTATTTTTCACTTAATTTTATACTTACAATCCGTAAAACATTGATATGTAAAACATATTATAAGGGCTCTTAGGTTGAAAAAAGAATTATACATACTTTCAATTTTGCTTTTTTATAACCTATAACTATGCATATAACATATAAGTAGATATATACAATTTACGTAGCCTTAACATATAAGGAAAAAGCCTCAAGGGAGTTTGAATTGGATAGGTCAATGGCGAAAGCTATGAGGTGGGAGATATATACAATTTACGTTTTCGTCATATACAATGGCAAAATCGACCAGGTCGACAATTATAATAAGAAGAGGCCAAAGCTTAATGACGAATATCATAATCTTGTGCAAGAGAAGAATTAGAAGGATTTCAGTTTATGTTGCATTTACAGTCAATATATTTTCTGTATATGTTGTATTTTTATTTAGATAACTTTTACTATCTCAAATGACTTATTTCGTATGCAGCTCTCGAACAACAATCAGACAACATAACTAGAGAGAATGATGTTTGGTCTAATCTCTTTATCCAACATCAGTACCATAAAGTATGTAGATTCACGAGAGAAACCTCTTTAAGTAAGTTCCATCAAAACACTATAGAAAATAGACGTCCTAGGTAAAAAAGAAATTCTCATCATTTGTCAAACGATCCAGCTAATAAGAACCAACAAGAACCATAACACAAACCAAAGATCCATTNCAATAAAAAACAAAAAAAAAAATAAAAACAAAAATTAAAATCTCCCATTGGTCGTCTCATACTAATTTCTTCATCAACAAAAAAATCTGTTAATATACCAAACAAAAACTATAAATAAACATCAAATAAACATTAAAACAGATTCGAGCGAAACTATCTGCATACAACCGTTGCCGAACAGGTCGAGCTAGGGCCTTCGGATGACCTGGAAGAAACTCGACCTGGAGATACACTGTTGTAGCAAATTATATTTTTATCGAGTAATGGGTTGACTCCCGACCTCGGGCGATCTCTCGAGGAAGGCGGTTTGGAATCACGATTCAGTGTTGATCACACACAAAAGGAAAATAAGACCTAAACACACTAACTACAAATGAGGTTTGAACTATCAACTAAGAAATAACAAAAAATGCAAAAACAGAGATCAACTCAAACACATGAATCAAACAATGATAAAGAAGCTAGGGAGACAAGAGTAATTTATTCTATTCTAAACGCAAAATCGGCAAATAATTATTCAATTCAAGATTGACACTCTCTCTTAAACATCTAGTGGTTCGCTCCCAATAACATTTCGTAGCAAGATACTGAACAAGTTCAAGCATACAACACCGGCCTAGGGTCCAATCCCAATAACTCTCGTAACAAGGGAAAGGAGGTAGACGAACATGTATTTCAATCCAAAAATCTATAGACTATTATTTTACGACATTATCTATCTCATGCGTGCCCAGGTCTATAACTTTTCCCCTTTCGGTTCTAAAAATTGCTAATTTAAATTAATCGACTAATCGTTTAGAATAAGAAACTCTAACTCGAAAGAACAATATTCAACTGTCACCAATTAGAAGATTGAAGTGTCACTCTTCAATTATATTCAACTCTCAAGCAAGAAATTAAACAATCCTTTTCAAATCAACTCGCACGAGAATGAACAAATCAAAGCCAGACAAATACGAACAAACAAGAACGATTATCCCCTATCCCTAGCAATCGGATTTAGCTACGTATATTTAATTCAACACAATTAAACATCTCAACCCAAGCAATTATTTTCATCAATTAAATGAAAAGAAAGACTTACGATTAATAGAGAAATTGAGGGTCGAATCCGAATTACAAGCTTAGTCCGAAAACAAGAAAAAATCAAGAGAAAATTCAAGAGAAGATCCAATGTTTTTGGGGTGAAAAACTGATAAAAACTAGTCTGGAGGTGTTCTCCAATGGTTGGGAACGAGTCCCAATGAAAAGTGCTCGAAAAATTGAGCAAAATGGGTTTTACAAATTCTGGTCGCGACCTCCGTGGCCGTGAGTTCCCAACTGCTGAACCATTCCGCAGCCGCGGGAATCCTCCGCTGCTGTGCGCGGCTTTACGTTTTAGGCTTGTTTGAACTCGTCCGAACTCGGAATTGAGTGCCGTTTTTTCCTATGCGTGGCCAATGAACCCTTATACATAATTAAGCTCGCAAAACCATTTTTTCCTTCAAATCATATCCACCCAAAGCTCTCGATCTGCATGCAAAAAATGACAAAAACACGAAGAAAATCGGTAAACACAAACAAAAACACAGAAAACACCAAAATAAAAGAAAACACTCAACAAACCATAGAACAGACTAAAAACCAACGAAAGGACCTAAAACGCAAGAAAAAGAAAGAAAAAACAATAACGAAAAAGGCAACAAAAATGAGACAAACAACTCTGCCACACTTAAACCTTTATTCGTCCCGAACAAAATGAAAACAAAACAAGACACGAGCATGGATAACAGTTTCAAATAAGAAGAGCCTCAAAATGTTTAACTCAACCGAGTCGAATTCCAACGACCATAAGACCATATGCCTCAATTGGTAACTTGGCCTTGAAATGACAACTCTCAAACACAGAAATATAAGAATATGCGTCACTCAGTTTCTTACAGGATTATATAATAGTTACGCTCAAATTGGTCGATATTCAAGTTTCAACATATGCTTGCCAATCGTCTAATTACTCGAAAACAATCAAAGCTCAAAACTTACGAATCAAGAGGACTTCACGTGTTGTAATGCGGGCTTTTGGTCAAGGTAAACATATATATATATGGGAGAAGAAGCTCAAATAGACAATCACAATTCTCGAGCAAATAGACCACTCAAGTACTCCGCTACTCATCCAGAATCAACATGACAACACAC